ATGGCATAAATGCCATGCGCTCGAAACCTGACATGACCTGCAGGAGATGAGGATGTTAAGACTCGCTCCATGTACAGTGTGTGCAACTGACGTCGGTGCTCCCCCACCTGCTGCAGCTCCTTGTCAGTTGAGGGCATTGTTATTTCCCGCGGCACCAACATGGTCAAGAACAGGCCGACACCCTCGTGTATTGCCTCGTGAAAAGCAGAGGAGCTGATGTCGTACTTGCCAGCCAGCTGGCGGTAAAAACTCCCCAAGCTGAGCCAGTCGAGGACAACAGCAAAGCGCTTTGGCCCCCCAATGGGCTCCCTGACGGCAGCCTGTGGCTGTCGGTCCATGGCGCTCCCAACGGACCGGTACAGCTCCAAGAACGGACCCTTGGTGACACGGAAATTTCTTAGGTACTCGGCATCCTCGCGGTCAGGGTAACGAGCGCCTATGGCCACCCAGTCCCCCAGGACCTGATTCTCCCAGAAGCCCCGAGAGTTATCATTGCGGATGCTCCAAAACCGGCGCAGACGTTCGGTCGATGCGAGTGCCAGAGCTGCGGCACCCATAGCGATGCCATTGAGCCTCAGCGGCCGTTGCCATCATCACTTCGGCGCTCAAACACTGCCACTGAGCATCGAACATATCTTCAAGGTTATCAAAAATATCATCCATCGCGACCGCTAGGGCAAACGCCATCGCGACTCGCGCGGGATGCAGTGCCATTGCAGTAGGCAGGGCTGCCTAAAACCCTTCAATTATATATTGCAATTCTAAGGGGATATGCTGAAGTTTTCGCCATTCAAAGACATAAAATGGAGATGGTTTGCACAGCTCGCGCCAACGAACACAAAGTCGTCGTAATGTCCCATGTAATAGCTAGTTTACATGCTACGTTACATTAAGACTTTTTGGGAAAAGTGGTTGGTTCGGACAAAAGTAAAGTCGGGGGGTTTGAATAATTCAACGTTTGACGAAATTCAATTTGAATTTCGTCAAACGTTGACCCCTCGTACCGTTACCTGAATTGCGTCGCCAATTTCGCGAGTTATAACAAACGGCCAAGCCCAATCGCTTTTAAAGACCACATACTTGACAAATCGTGCGCTCTTTGCACTCTGACCGAATTTCGAGTCACACCGCTGCCTTATATTCTAAAAATGGACAAGGAGAACACCGCTCGTATTGTTCGCCCGCTAGCAACCGCTAATGTGGCAAATAGGCAACCAAACGTAGTATCAGGGCTGAAGCCGCTGGGGAAACAGCAAATCGGCCGCATGGGCAGCGGCATGGGCAGGGCCGCATCGGCCCGCACGCCCCAGCATCAAGCAACACGAATTTATTCCAATCCATATGGGAATATGCTGAAGTTTTGGCCATTGAAAGCCATAAAATGAAGATGGTTTACACAGCTCGCGCCAACGAACACAACGTCGTCGTAGCGTCCCATGTAAACTGGGTGACTTTCTCAGGCCCACTTTTACCTAAAAGTCTTCGCAACGTAACGTAGCATGTAAATCCAGTATAAACTGGGTGACTTTCGCAGGCCCACTTTTACCTAAAAGTTTTCGCAACGTAACGTAGCATGTAAATCCAGTATTAGACTTTTCGTCCAATTTACCGGTAACGTACCGTACCATGTCCGAGACGACCACTTTTCCCAAAAGTCTTAACGTAACGTAGCATGTTGTTGTTGTTGTTACATGGTCGTGGGTGCGTTCCCCGTACCTGCAAACCACCCTAGTACGAGCCGAGGGCTCAAGGGCTGCCAAATCGCCTATAAGCACCATCCTACCTCGCACTTCCAACGAAACAAGTAATGAAGTATACTAACGACCAAAGGGAACGATAGAGTTGCGGTGAGACCATATACGTTCCAGCATTCTTGCCAGGCGTCCAGGTTCCCACTTCATAGCGTCCTTCATATGTTCGAAGCGTGGAAAGCCCATATCAGATCTGATTCCGTCGTAAACCGGACAGTCCAGCAAAATGTGTTTCTCATCCTCGATGTGGCTATCAGTGCCGCAGCAGGGGCATACTCGCTCCTCCCTAGGTATATAACGCCGTCCCTTACGCGCTCTGTTAGCCGCCAGTGCCCAACAGCAAAGCCTAAACTGCATAAGCTTGCAATTCGCCGAACGTGGGATAAACATTGTGATGTGCGGGAGCACCTCCTTCCTGCCCGCTTGCTCGGCCGCCAGCCCCATCCAATGCTTATACTTCGCCATGTGAATTCCTGGTTGTTTGCCGTCTGACGGATACACGTCAGGCTGGACATCTAAACGTGTATGCTTCCAACCACTCACTAATCG